CCTTCCTGGTATGGCTACTCTCAATATTGGACCCAAGGAGTGTACCTGTCCTACATTCCCTGTGTTTCCAGCTCTTATCTGTACCCATGTACATGTTCTGGTGTAGCCAGATTTGTAAGGTAGAATTAAAGTCCTGTGTACATTTCCAAAATGCAATATATCATTTAGTTTCTCGACTGCTATTTCCACGTGCTTTGATTGTGAACCAAGTGAAAACAAAACCGTTGGCAACTGATTATTTCTCCATTTACTAGGATGATGTCTATTGGTCCTGTTGTCAGGATTTAGTTTCCTTTACATTGAGTTGCAATCCATACCGAAGGGTTGAGTCTCTGAGATTCATCAGCAAATGCTTCAAGTCGTCCTGCCTTTCAGCAGGCTGTGTCATCTGTGTGTTACACACTCTTAATGAGCTCTGATCCTGGTGCTCGATTCTTCTTCATATAGTCCAGCTTCTCAAAAGGTTTGTTTTGAGGAGCGCGACTCTACAGATTGAAGAAGCATGGTGAGAGGAAACCACCCTGACACACACCTTTCCTGACATTAAACCACTTAACATTCCCTGCCTCTTGGTCCATGCATAGATATCACACGGGGACCATGAAATATTCTGGATTTCCCATTCTTCTCAAGGTTATCCTAGTCTGTTATGACTCATACAGTCAAATGCTTTTGCATGGTCAATGAGACCCAATAAGCATCTTTCTGGATTCTCTGCTTTCAGTCAGGACCCACTGATGTTAGTAATACTATCTCTCTTCCACATCCTCATGGGAATGCACTTTGAATTTATGGCAGTTCCTTGTGGGTGGACTACTGCAACTGCTGTTGAATTAGCTAGCTGAATAACGTCCACATTGTGTTGGGGAACCTTTCTCTAGAATAGACACAAATATGGATCCTTTCCTGTCAGTTGGCCAGACAGTTACCTTCCAAATTCCTTGCCATAGACTAGTAAGTGCTTCCAGTGCTTCAGCAGCTTCTTGAAACATTTCAATTGATATTCCATCAATTCCTGGCTTGTTTGTGAATTTGTGATTTTTTCTTTTACTTTTTTCTTTTTGCTAATTCCTTTGATGCAGCCTGAATTTCTTCAGGATGTTTGGATCTTGATCATATGTTACTTTTTTAAATAGTTGAATATCAACTAATTTTTTTTTGGTATAGTGACTCTGTAGTTATTCAATCATTCAATAATTTGCCCATAAAATCCTTCAATAGTGCAATTAAAGTCTAGATTTTTTGGTTTTCATTCTTTCAGCTTGATAAATGCTGAGCATGTTCTTCCCTGTTGGCTTTCTAACTCCACGTTTTTGCACATTTCATGATAATACTTTACTTTGTCTTCTGGAGCTGCCCTTTGACATCTTTTATTGGTCTTTTGCTTCATCATTTTTCATTTGCTTTAGCTACTGCATATTTAAGAGCAAGTGTCAGCCTCTTGTGACATCCCCTTTGATCTTTCCTTTCTTTCTTGTCTTTTTGACGATCTCTTGCTTTCTTCCTGTCTGACGTTCTTGATATTATTGTCCAACTCATTAGGTCTTGTGCAGTTAGTGTTCAATATGTCAAATCTCTTCTTGAGATATTCTCAACACTCAGGCGGGATATAATCAGGGTCATATTTAGGCTTTCATGGGATTGTTTTTATTGTTTACCATGTCAACCTAAACTTACACGTGAACTTACAAATTCTTGCCCACAGTTTGCTCCTGTCTTTATTCCAGTCCCTTATATCAAGCTTAAAGGGTCCCTGGTGACGTGGTTGTTATGCATCATGTTGTGATATGTGAGGTTGACATTGCAAAACCACCAATGGCTCTGTGTTAGTCTGTGGTGTAGACTATAGAAATACATTCATAGGTACTCGTATGTGTATAAAAAATAACTTTATATAAAGAGTAATTGTACATTAAGAAAACATCCCAGCCAAGTCCAGATGAAGTCCATAAGTCCAATATTAGCACATCTGGCTGATATCCATCTATAAAGTCCTCTTCAGACTCATGAA